CAAAAAGCCTTTACTTTGTTTCTGCTTGTTTTTCCTTTATTTTCCTTTAAGATTTCAGTTGTACTTTTTGTTCTTTAAACTTTCCGTACGTTAATTGTCACCAGAGTAATCCTGCCGACATTGTGGGGGATTATCCAAGTGCCGAAGCAGAATTGTTTACAGGTTCCATTATTATTAATTAATTCCATTTGCTTTATAATGTATGTTTACATGTTCTGTTATTTTAATTCAATTATGCTTGCTTTAAGATTCATGTCTAGCTAAACCGTATCGATCGGTATGTAATGAATTAGTAGGACGAGATTCGATAATAATCGGCATTTTCCACTTTTTCAAACTTGTTTCTGGCCATAGTTTTTAATCTGAATTTGTTAAACCAAACTTCGTCGCGCATCGAGAATTTGTTTAAAGTAATCTCACCACGACAGTGGGAGATTCATTAAGGTATGAACCGACATGCGAAAGCTGAGGCTAGGACTAGATAGTAAAAACTAGGCATCTATTTTAAATACAGCGAAAGCACTTTAAAAGAGATTAGAACTCAATGGTTTTCAAAAATCAATTTTAACCCCAAACGGGATAGCGAAAGCATACGTTCCGCCTTAGAGTTGCGACTAGCGTCAACAACCAACGTGAGACAAAGGTCTTTAAACCGTTATTTTCTTCTGAAAACTATTTTGAAATTATTAAACCACGCCGGTAACTTATCGAACCATCGAAGAACTAAGTCATTGCATACCGATTCCCCGTATTAATATTCTAAGAAACCTTTTAGCCTTTCTTTAATTTAGCCTTTACTTTTGCATATTTTCCCTTAAACCATATCCAACCTAGCTAAATATAGTAATGCCCGAGAACACTAGTTTGATTACGAGTCCCTGTGGGATCGATATCTTTTATTACTATGCGATAGACTGTGCACTTGCAGTTAGTTCGGTTAGACTCAGAAAGTCACGATCAGTCTCTTGCCAGTAGGTAGTCATTATCAGTCTCCTCATCTTTGACAGTAACTTCTGCTTCTTCTTTGACTTCATCTAGGTTATGTAATTCAGTATCACTATTCTCCACCTAAACAGGAATCTCTTCCTATTCCAACTCTTCTTCGGAGATCTTGGTACTTCGACCAACGTCATCATTTTTCTTGAACATCATCTCAACTTCATTGAAAACTACATCTCGACTTATGATAAACCTCTTGTGACCTGGCTCTAGGCACCACAACCTATAAGCTTTGACTCCTTCAGGATTTCCAAGGAACAAACATTTCAAAGCTCTAGGTTCAAACTTGTCATTCCTAATGTGAGCATAGACTAAACAACCAAATACTCTAAGTTTGTTGAGATTAAATGGATGTTTCGACCAGACTTCTTCAGATGACTCCATTCCCAAGGCTGTCAAGGGACACCTATTTATCAGGTATGTTGCAGTCACAACAGATTATGTGTAAAACACCTTCTTTTAATCTCGCGCATATCAACATGCACCTCACTCTTTCCAGAATGGTTCGATTAGACCTTTCCGCCAAACCATTTTGTTGGGGAGTACCTGCAGTAGTTATGTACATTGCAATACCAAACGCAACACAGTAGTTGTCAAAAACATCGTTGAAAAATTCAAGACCATTATCAGTCCTCAACCTCTTGACCTTCTTATCAGTTTAGTTTTTGACCAGAGTCTTCCAACTTTTGAAATTTTCATAAGTTTCATCCTTAGTCTTCTGAATGAATACCCATAACTTTCTGGAATAATCATCAACTATGGATAGAAAATACTTTTCACTTGAGTGTGAAGGATTCCTTACAGGCCCCCAAAGATTACCATGAATGTAATCAATGGATCTATGTGTTCTTTGTTTACCTTTGTTAAACTTCACTCTACATGATTTACCAAATACATAAGGTTCACAAAATTTTAGTTTTTCGACCTTGTCACCACACAACAGATTTTGTTTTGACAATTTGACCAGGGCTCTCCCACTGACATGACCAAGTATCTTATGCGATAGTTCAATCTTCGACACAGCTTTCGTGGATGCCACATCAGCTGAACCACTTACAACCTATGCTTCAAGGGTATATAGGTCTTGTTTCTTCACGCCTCTCAAGACTTCCTTCAACCCTTTCCTCACCCTTAGGATACTTTGTTCTCCTCTAAAAACATATTCTTTCTTGTCGAATTCACCAAGAGAAATAAAATTCATCTTAAGACCAGGTACATACCTAACATCAGCCAATAACATTATTGACACATCATGGAGCTTGAACCTCACAAATCCAATACCTATAATTTTTCAAGCTTTGTTGCTTATCAGCAGAACTGATCCACCATCTTATTCACACAATTCCTCAAATATGTCTTTGTTTGGAGTCATGTGCCAAGTACACCCTAAATGTATAACCCACTCCTTGCTAGAGTCACTGCTTAAAACCACTAGGACATCAAATGATTCTTACCTATCTTGCACAATGCATGTATTACCATTATTCTTTACACCATGATTGTTCAGTCGATCAGAGCATACTTTTCTTGTATGACCCTCCTTCTTACAATGATAACACTTAATAGTATGAGAATTACCACCATAATAGTCTAGTAGAAATTTACCCTTCTTCTTCTCAAATCTACCATCTTTCTTCAAGATTTTCCCTTTAACAGATAAACCTTCACCAACTAAAGATGTTTTTTGCTCCTTTCGTTCGTTCAAATCCTCAGAGTACAAGGCAAATTTAACATCTTCAAAAGTCAACGAATCTCTTTCATATAAGAGATTTTCTTTGAAATGAGCGTGAGACTTAGTTAAAAAAACACAACAACAACAACACTTGATCTTCATTATCAATCTTGACCTCGATATTCTCAAGATCAAGAATAAACTTGTTGAACATATTCAGCTACTCAGCCAAGGCTTTGTCTTCACTCATTTTAAATGAATACAAAACTTGTTTCAGGTAGAGACAATTAACCAACGATTTCATCATGTAAAAACCTTCAAGTTTCGTCCATACACTAGCTACAATTTTCTCCTCTGAAACATGTCATAGAACCTTATCATCAAGGCTCATGCACACTAATGAATTTCTCAATCTCATACTTTGTGGACGGCATCTTCTTCTCCATGCTCACTGCACCAGTTTGTTGTGTAACGATGTCATCAATAATAGAAAAAAGTTATGAGATAAAGATTGAATTTCTTAAACAAACATAATAAACCCTATTAGGTTTTACGAAAGAGGAAGAAGAAGAAGAAGAATTGGTTAAAATTATTTTACTATTCACTTTCTCAATAAGGTTCAAAGATTACAAGTTAATAACAATAATTAACCTCTCTCAACAACTTGAGAGAACTAGTCTATTTATGGACTACTAAGTTAACTTAGGCTACAAGATAACTTAACAATTGGGTTTATAAGCAAGTCCTAATTCGACATGCTAACTTAAACACAAAGCTAACATATTTTGACAACATGGTTGAATAGACTTCGACAACAACATGCATAACTCCTGTCGAACCATGAAACTATCCTTGTTGACATTAGAGTTTAATCGAAATACCACATTTTTTTCTTTTATATATATTCATATCTCTCAGTTTTTCTAAAAAACCGACATGATAGATATTTTAAATGTATTTGCAGAATATGACACTACGGTGTTTTTTATTTTTAATTAAAACATACACAGGTTTTATTTGAAAAATCAAAGTGATTTCTATTTTGCATGAAATATTCCAGAAAATTAGACTCTAATTTTTCACTCTCTATCAACTCTAATGTTAATCTTATACGTGGTGATGATGATGAAAGGAAAACTAATTATACATGTGAATTCTGCATACTAATAAACGACATACAAGTATTCCAAGGAAGAAGTGAGTGGCAAGTTGATCATGTATGGCCTTTTGATCTGTGAATTCACCACACCGGGAGTGAGTGGCGAGACTTCAACGAACAAATAAAATCTGGTTGGAATCATGTGGAGATTTCATGTTCAGGCATTGATGAGTCAGAATTTTTAACTATTAAATGTTGTGGAAATCATCTATACAAAGATAGAATGAATATCCACCATGTCTCCTTCATAAGTCCTGATCTTCAAAGCTCAAATATGGTTCATGATGATGATAATTTGGATATCTATGATGAAATAAGCGATGATGTTGTTTTTTCTTCAATATTTGCTAAATATTGTAACAAGACTATATTAGAGGCCATGAATGATCTTCAATCCAGCAAGAGAAAAGTTGATAATGAATATGAATTTGATGAGGAGTTGGAATTAGACAGTAACACTGACATTGACAACCAGTACATGGAAGAGGAACAAAATTCGTCTTCCCTTAATCATCAAAACTAGAAATGTTTTAAATTGTGAATAAAGACAATGAAAAAGGTATCATAGCACGTCACTCTTTGGTTAACTCATAAATTCTTACGAGTTTTCGATTCTAGGACACAAAAACGAGTTTAAACTGATTAAATCTATAAGCACCATTGCATCAACAAGCACAGACAAGGGAACACAATTAGTTGATAAAATAACTTCTTTTGTTGAACAAATCCAATTCGATTCAATAAAAAGAAAACAACCTGTTCTAAATGCAGAAACCTACATAAACATTGTTGAGTCCACCATAAATGAAGAAAATATGGAAGAATTTTACGCTTTACTTGAAGCAGAAAAAACTTCTCCCTTACAAGTTCAACCTACCGATGAAACTGTGAGAAGTAGGCCTAGTGAAGAAACTCAGAAAGCATTGCAGATTCTACAAGACTTTGTCTCAAAAAAGTTCTCTCTTTTGCTACATCCAGGACGTTCTAGATTGATGAGAGATATTCTGAAATACCTACTCAGTTTAACACCAGAAGAAGGATTGTCCCTGAAATCAAAATCAATAATATTGCAACAATGCGAACCTTAAACTTGAGTCAGCAACTACACTTCTAACAAAAGCTGAAAAAGTGAAGGATTATCTTTATGATAATGTGAAAGACTTCCGAGAAATGGACATGGTTGAGAAGTGTTTGTCAAATCAGTTGGCCTGCTTACACGAGAAGAAGAGAGAACTTGAAGAGAAAATGAATGCCATAAAAGCTGAGATTGCAGATTTTACAGCACAGAGAGACACGGTTGCTAAGAGAAAGATAGAATTGTTTCAGAAAGGAAGTGTGATGAAAGCTGAAAGGGATGATTTGAGGAACCAAATGCCAAGGTTGAAAGCTGAGAAGGAATTGGCAAATATAACACAAGAAAATATTGAAGAAGAGTGGTCAAAGCTTGGAGAACAATTCATTGGAAGCACCGATTTTGAAGAGTGGAGCTTAGAACCTTCACATAAATAAGTTTGTAATAAGTTATTTCTGTTTGGAAGTACTTTTTCTTCAAAAGGTTGAGAGTAGCACTCAGTACAACATCATAATTTAGAATCTCTATTTATTCTCAACATGGATCACTATTACTAATCATTTCAGTTGAATAATGAGAGAACATGAGAAAATTTGGATTGAATCCGACGTTGAATTACACAGTGGAGCTCATTATATATAATAGAAGAAATAAATGTCATAGTAATTACATAATATTTTATTTCCTATTTACATGATATCCTAATTACTTATAGAATATTCTATTTACATAATATGGAATATTCTGATATCTAATACCCCTGTCAAGCCGGAGCATACATCAGTTAATTGATCATTTGAATTGACAAAACTAGTGCTGACATCTTCAGATAAAATCTTCTCTCTGATGAAATGACAATCAATCTCAATGTGTTTGGTTCTTTCATGGAACACTGGATTTGATGCAATATGCAGAGCTGCCTGATTATCACAAATAAGTGTCATATGTGAAACATCCCCGAATCTCAGGTCGTGAAGCAACTGTTTGAGCCATATAAGCTCACAGGTTGTTGCCATGGCTCGATATTTTGCTTCTGCACTTGACCTTGCCACTACACCTTGTTTCTTACTTTTCTAGAAAATTAAGTTACCACTCAAGAAAACACTATAACCTGAGAAGGATCTCCTATTAGAAGGAGAACCTACTCAATCTGTATCTAAGTATCCTACAAAAGTTTTTCTTTTCTTTCTAAGTGCAGCGTCTCTGGCCACTTCAGAAACTGAAATGTTCCTTTTAATGACACTAACTTTCTCTTGTAGCTCTTTTATTTTTCTTCCAAATAAAATAGTTGGCTTGTTAACTCACTTTCTACGAACACAAACTCACTGAACTGGTCTTTGTTGGCTACAACACTCTCTTCAAGTGTTTGTAGCTTTGATAGTATTAAAGTTGAGGTCTCAATTTTCATGTTTGCGTCATTATAGTCACGATTCCACCGAGTAAAGTTAGCTAAAAGTGGTCATATTATAGACTTCAACCTCATTGAGACATCATCATAGATTAAAGTATAGAGATATTCCAAAGTAGTTTTCATAGATGTTGATGATGTTGGTTCTAGAAGATGAGAAACTTGTTGAGAGTAGTTCTTTCAAAATTTTCACGGCTTTCTTGATTTCTTCACTCATATTTGTTGGAGAAATTTTTAAAATATTAAATTGATAAATAATAATGGTTAAATTAACAAAATAAATGACCAAAAGTTGCAACTGTCTAGAATAAAACTAGAGACCCTATAATGATTGTGTCCGTGGTCAAATGGTGCAACCACCAGATTAACACAACTTTTCATGAAAAAGTTTGTTGTTATTGATATACAATGGTTTGCGAATGGTCATATTGGAATCAAATGAAACATTGTTTCTCCACATCAATTGGTACAAGTTTTCTTATAAATAGAGATACTTGTCAGAGATAAAAGATATATGAAAATAATATATTTTAGAGGCAAAATTTATATATATAAGTCATTTCTTTATTTTTCTTGTGAACGAGAATAAGTGTAGAAACTTTATTCTGTAAAATATCATTGATCGATATGTTTATTGTGAATGTGCAATTCATGTTAAGGTTTTCAGAGTATCATGAAGGGGATTCGCCGAATTACCCATTTGCATCCAATTTGACTAAATCGGTGGGGGGAATCGAACTTAAAACTTAATGTAAACACACACTTTGAGATTTATTTTGTGCAACTTTCATCATAACATTTTCATCTTATTATTCAAGTTTTGCAACAGACCCCAACACAAGATCTAACAATCTTTAGGTTCGATTTTTTATTTTTAATTTTGATTCATACTTTATTTATAATTAATATTAAAGTATGCAATTTTAAAGAGTATGGTAACAACTTTCAATAACGGTGAAAGGAACACAGTTAATTCATATAATTTTTAAAATTATAGAATTTTGATTTATGAATCTTTTTGTTTGTGGTTAATTTGTGACTACAACGGAAAAATGAACATTCATACTTTCTTATTCATCAATATGGTGAAAGGTACATAATCATATTAAATAAATATGTCATTTATATGCTGTTTTAAATTCATGTAAAATATGTTGAAAATAATATTTATTTATGTTAAATTTAACATGTGGAATAAATTTATATATGCATGATTTATAAATTATTCAAGTATGTGAATTTGAATACTTAAAAATATGTTTGGTTTATGGTATATACTTAAATATAAAATACATGTTGAATATTATTTTTGGTGTAAGTAATTTGTTTTAATTAATAATGAATTAATTTTGGATAAAATAATTTGGTGAAGAAAAAAATTATGAATTTGAATGTATGATACATGTAATGGTAATATGAAATTATGTAAATAAAATGTTAGAAATATCAATTACTCGTTTAAATTGCATTTTAGTTTGTTCAAGAATTTATTAAATTTAAAATGATTTATCTCATAATATGTGTATATCATAATATAAAAGTATCATTTTTGTTCATCCTGATATTAAAAGTAATTTTGACATATTTTAAGTTATTGTAAGTTGACAAATATTTATAGAGAAAAGTTATAGAAAATATTAATGATGTGAATTCATTGTTTACTTTGTATTGTGATTTTTATTTGGATATACCATAGAACATTGTTAAATATGCAATATGAATTTATCATATAAAATTTGTTATGCAAGAAAATTATTTTTTTGAAAAAGAATAGAAATGAATTCTACGGTGTTGTATTTATATGGAGTTTATGAATTACATGTTTGAATTCACTTCATAAAATAAAAGTTAGTCATAACAAATTTGTTTGATCGTGGTTAGCGATTGCTATACATGTTTAATGAATTAAATATATTTTGGATATATTTAAGTTGAAGTGAAACTTCAAATTAAAAAGGTTAGAAAATAAAAAAATGACAAAATTTATGTATGTGACAAAATGAATGACAAAAGTGTCATGATTATAGTTTATCGAAACTATCAAGAATATAGAACATATGTTGTATATGAAAATTGTACTAATATGACAAAAGTGTTATGATTTGGTGATAGATGACAACTACTATCAAGAGTACATAAAACAAGAAGCACAAGTATATGTTGTTAAGAAACTTGTATCAATGAAAGATCTCAAGATAATTGAATTAAAATCTCATGATTGTCATGCCTTGATGCAACAACTTCTACCAGTGGCTATTCGTGGTATCCTTCCAAAAATGTAAGAGTAACTATAACTAAATTGTGCTTATTCTTAAACGCTTATGTAATAAAGTTCTTGATTTCAAAAACTTAGATGAATTAGAAGACAAGGCTGCAATAATCTTGTGTCAATTGGATATGTATTTTCCTCCATCATTTTTTAACATTATGGTTCACTTACTTGTTTATCTAGTCAGAGAAATTAGATTTTATGGTCCTGTTTATTTAAGGTAGATGTATCCACGAGAGCGATACATGAATATCTTTAAAGAATAATTGAATAATCATCACAGACCAGAAGCCTCGATCGTTGAAAGGTACATCACAGAAGAAACTCTTGAGTTTTGTTCAAACTATTTGTCGGAAATAGAGTCTATAGTAATTCTAAAGTCTCGTAATTCCAAAGTTAAGTCAATGCTTAGGATTTAGTTGTTGAAGCACATTTTTATATATTTAATAATCTTAATGAATTAGAACCTTAAATAGCTACTCATAAAACAGTTATAAAGAAAAAATATCCTCAAATGAATGACAAGTGTTTGTTGACAGACCATAAGAAGAAATTCATAAGTTGGTTTAATAAGAAGATTTCTAATGATGATAATGCATCTGAAATAATTAAATGGTTGGCATATATGTAAAATTTTAATGTGATAACTTAGATTGCATACGGCATTTCTAATTTTTTCTTTTATATAAAAGCAAAAGATGATCATAGTAAAATACAAAATAGTGGGGTTATGGTTGAGGTCGGATCCATATATTTCTCTAGTTCAAAAGATAAGAATCTTATTTTAGCAACTAGCGCGTTCTATGGTGTCATTGAAGAGATTTTGGAGATTGGTTATGTTATTTTCAAAGTTCCTTTATGTAAATGAAAGTGGGTTTCCAATAACAATGGTGTACAAACTGATGAGTTGAGATTCACACAAGTTGACCTTGGTATGACAACTTATATGACCGGACCACTTATCATGGCTACTCAAGCAAAATAAGTTTTTTATGTGACAGACCCTTTGGACTTATCTACTACATGATCAATTGTTCTCCAAGTAAAATACATTCCTCATAGTGATAAAATTTTGATATTTCTTCCACTTCTTCTTACGCAACACAAGTGCCTACTTCATATGAATAAGTTGATAGAGATGATGTGCATATTATTTGTAACGGTCATCAAGAAGGCATATGAGAAAATTAACACAAATTTTATATTATTAATTTGTAATATTGTAAGTTATAATTTCTAAGGTTATTTACTAACAAGTATTATTATTTGAAATTATAGGTGTTTAAAGTTAAGACACCAAGATAATATTATTTGATGTAATGATGTCCAAATATTAGGTTGTTTTGTGTCATTTTAATTTTGATTTAATATACAATTTTTGGTTCATAATGAAATTTATCTTTGATGTAATATAATTTTTGGTGTAATTCAATTTACAAATGATGTATGTTGTTGGGTATCGAACTCAAAACCTATAAATTCTTTCAAAATGGTTGTTTAAAATAATTGTTGTTATATGTAGCGTGTTTTCCTGTTTACCACAACAAACAATAAGTCGTTGTTTTAAACTACACACTTACAATCGCACTCAACCTCACAACGGTTTATCAACAGTGATAGTATCTCTTTTTCAACAGTTGTAAAATGTGTTTTCCGTAATAATGATATATAAATCATGAGATAATAGTTAATAAAAAAGAGAAATTAAGAATTTAAAATAAAAATTAAAAAGGATAAATTTGAAAGGAAAATACAACACC